GTTCATGATAGCTGCTGAACCGGGATATGTTAAGTGAGCGCCCAACTGACCCTGATTTGTAAACCTGTGGAATGACAATTCAGCAACACGATTAAGTGAAAATATGGGGCAGAAAAAGCTGCAGAATACTTAAAAAGCATACCTTGACAAAGGTTTGAGACTGGTTTTGTGGGTCAACGTGCCCTACACTTTGCAACAACTCAGATGTATCTTGCATGCATCCATATAGAGAGCCCTGAAAGCCAGACTCCCCTAATGGCATTGTTGATGAATTAGTGTCAGCAGACGAGGTGGTGTAACCAGGGACCGTGGTGGGAAGGAGAAGGCCAGATGAATCAATATTGACGCCAAAGAGTGTAGGATTTTGGGCATCTGAATTACAATGTGGTAGCACCATTGCAGAATCTTTTCCAGAATATTGTGCATGTGACATAGTGCTTCCATAAGCATTGACCTGACCAGGTGCATACTTTTGGGTCCACTGTTGTTGGGGTAATTGTTCGGTCAGCAAGGACTGTCCGCTCCTTGATAAGTTCAAGAGACTGCCACTTCCTTCAGGACAAAGTGAACTAAGCATGTTTTGTCCTGGGGAAACCGAAGCCGGGAACTTCATGCTCGCATCCAAGAAATCCGGTTTCGAATACGATGGTGAAGGAACACCAGAGTGTTGTCTCTGATGGAGCTGATCACCTGGAATTAAAAGCGTGTCTTGAAAAGTATGTTGCTGCTGTTGCACTTGGACTTCTTGATTGTTGTGTGGTTTCTGAAGGAGGTGCTGAGAAAGGTTCTCAGTCATCATATTGGCTTGTGGCTGCAGCAAGTTGGAAGACGCCGATTGTTGAATTGTTTGTTGCTGCTGAAGTTGCAAAGGAGAAGCATTGTTGTTTCCTGATTGTTGAAGGTAGTGGAAAGGCTGTTGAAAGTTCATCATTTGTTGCTTCATGAGATATCCACTACCTAGGTTCTGCAAGCCAGCTGCCAACATAGCTTGGTACTGTTGATTCTGATCGTTTCCAAGTAAAGATGGATCCAGTCTCTGCTGCATCCAGGGCAACATACCAGCTCCTTGAAAATTCAGAGAGTTGAGACCTTGGTCTACATGTCCACCTCTCAGCCACATTAGTCCATTAGCTGCTTCATCTCTACCATCTGTAACAAGATCATTAGTGAAGAAAGGAGGCAGAAGAAAACGCTAAAAACAACCATATCATTCGCTTGGAAAGAGAAGGGATGAATGACACAACACCACCTAAATGTGGATTAACAAGCAAATCTAAATCTAATCCGTGTTATGTACATAAATTGAAGAAATATGAAAACTAGAAAACTAATATGGCTAACTTGATTTCCATTTATAATAAACTAGTATTTTAGACTGTGCAATGCATAAGCTAAATGTTATTTATTATGTATAACTAAAATTTATGATAAATTAAATATACAAATAAAAATTATATCTGAATATATAAATTATATTTAAAATTTGAATAAAAAGACATTTTTAACCATATTAATTATATTTTAAATTTATGATAAATAATTTATATTATGACATAAGATTATTTTTAATTATTGATAATTTATTTTAAAAATATTATAATTTATAAATAAACATGATAAATAAATAATAAATTAGATAAAAAAAGTTTAAAAAAATCTCTACAAAACCCTTTCATTAAAAAAATGTCTAAAAACACTCTTATTAAAGAGAAGTCCCTAAAAGTGCTCTCATACAATACAGTCATTCATGTTTAATATATAGAGGTTGATTGTGAGAAAACATAATAATCTGAACATTTGTAACATACACATACATTTTGTCACAAAAATATCAAAAATAAATCATATTATGTTTGGTAGAAGGAAGAGACTATAGAAAATGTAAAACTTTCCCTCTAATGAGTGGAGAAAAGGAGAAACGTAAATATAAACTTAAAATATCAATATTTATCAAAAAAAAATCACTCCAAACCTAGATATTTAAGATAGAGAAAGAAGGATTTGACTAAGGATATTTAAGGCTGTCTCAGTAAGTTTAAGCATTCAATGGTCCAGTCCAGTCTAAAGTTTTGAATAGAAAAGATCCAAAAAAGGATAGGAATAGGATATGTCTTGGATATGTAACACAATACAGATAAGCATACTAGATATTAGATACACAAGCCAAAATGCTGATATTTAGGATACTTGCTGCCTAGATCTCACTAGGAATAATTTCATTTTTTTACTAAAATTTAAACAATTAGTTACTTAACCAGTACGATACACGTGCCTCCACATGGGTGATTTGGCTGCTTTTGCATGTTTTATAAGCAAGTAAAATATATATTTAATTTATAAGGTAATTTCTATTTAAGAAACAATGCTTGTGGTTAACTTATGAAACAAGCAATGTGTAAAGTTATATCTATTTTGAGGAATGCTAGCAATACATTTGTCTTAACACACTCCTTATTGGTTAAAATTTATTGAAAACTACAAAATTAGGATAGAGTCTTTAAATAGGATGTGGAATCCATTAAATTTTGTGTTTTTCAATAAACTTCAACCAATTAGAATGTGTTTAAAAGAGTGCTTTGCTAGCATTTTTCATCTATTTTTAATGAGAACATAACAATAAAATGAAAATCTTTGGGTAGCAACACACTCCTTCTAACATACTTCTACTATTGCTTAAAAATTTGTTGGAAACTACAAAATCATAAATGAGGCTCATAAATATAAAGTGGAACACATAAAATAATGTGATTTCCAATAAATTTCAACAAACAATAAAAATTGTGTTCAAGAGTGTTTCATAGAACTGAGTTGCTAGCATTTCTCAAAAGGCAATTCATTGCCCCATCCAAATCCCCAAAAAAAAAACTCTTAACTGTTTCGGGAGGATACATATTCTCAAACCTAGAGATCCTCCTATTTGGGAGAAAATCTCCTTTTATTAAAAAAAAATTATGTTGTATATTACTAACTTATTGTTAATTAGAATGAAATCTATAATAAAAAAAAAGTAAGCACGGAGAAAAAAAAAATACCATGCAAAGATGAGGTGCCAGGATGCCATGGACGTTTCAGTCTGAGGGGAAATAATGATGGATACATCGGGAATGTTGTTAATGGCTCAATTTCCCATAGAGACACTCGGGGTTGTCTCTCTCCAGCTGTTGATTCATCCCAACCAACCTATCCACAACAGAATAAAGGATTAAGCAATAGCAATTCTTTTAAAACATCTAATGAAATCAAACCCTGAAATCTTAAAATGCTGTCACTGTAGATCAGTCTTCTGGGACAATCACAAAGGAGCATAGTGTTATGCCTAACATTCCTTATTTATATAATAATAATAATAACAACAACAACAACGATAACAATAACAATAATAAAAGGAAACAAAATCAGAAATCAGTAAAACAAGTTAACACATGAATCATGATAAGAAGAAATGCGAAATAACCTAAATATGCATCTATAGTTCCCTGTGCATGAGACAAATAACAATAAATTGAAATGGCTTTTCAAAAATAAATAAATAAAATTGTTCATAGCATTCAAAGTTCAAACAACACTTCTCTCAATTTAATGTTCATTTAATAAGGCAGTACATAAGCCCTTGATTGATAGTATAAAATGTTTTTCATTTTAATGATTGAATATTCAAAATTTGACAAGCTCCAATGCATCGTAGGGTATTTCAACTAATAGCTGAATAATAAAGGCAACTAAGACTACAGAAAAGATGCAGTACTCACTACTCAGACACACTGCAATAAATCTCATGGCTTAATTTTTTTTTTGCTAGGCAAAAGTGAATAATATTAAAAAGGGAGTACAAGGGGAAATCTCATGGCTTAATGAGAAGAAAGAAATACCAAATAAATTATATGAAACACGATTAGATATTATGATTAGTATGGAGAAGCGCATTCTTCAAACATGGTCAGTTATCTAAAATGACTACATCCATATGCACAGTCTATATAACAAGATGTGTAATTGCAAAGTGGCATTAAATTTTACACAATAACTAAAGGTACTCTATATGCTGCCATATAGTCTTTTGAATACATTACAATGTGTTTCCTTACCTTGACAGAACGCCAATGAGAATTCGGCCATCGAACAGAATCCAAATCACTTATGCCAGTTATTGTACCCATATACCTGCAAAAACAAAGATGACACAATGATAAGAAAAGGAAAAAAAGAATAATATCTTTCCACTAAGTCTCCACTCTCCACTGTCTTCAGATGGCAATTTGCAAACCTTCCATTTTTTGTCTCATTTACAAAAATAAAAAATAATAATAAATGCACATGACATTTCAACCATTTTACAAGCAAAGGCAAGCTATTTCTATCTTGATGTTTCTTAAAGGCACAGAGTCTCATAAGCATGACTATCTTAACTGGTCTAAGGGTTGGATTAAATATCTCTAGATATTCAAGAACAAAAATATTACAGTTGCTTAAGGAAAAAAATAACTGATGTGTGCCAATACCTGCGGACACTTGACTCTTCAGTTTCAAAAAGCATCCTGAAACGCATACCAACAGAAATACGTGTATGGTACACAGCTTTGATATATTTCGAGAGTGGTATGACAAACTCAGATGGACTAGCCCTGCCGATGATGTAACTGTTAAAATAAGCATTCTAATTTCCTATGGAGAAGTATCATAAGTAGAAAGTTTGACAACATTCACAACCTTGGATTGTAGAACACAGTAAAACAGCTATTAGTTGCTGCAGCATGGGCAGCGGCTGCAAGAAGTCCAATGTGCATGCTATCACTGGATAGAACTGATGATGGCATTACAGTTTGTGGTCGATTGGCACGACGTATTCCTAGAAGAAGCTGATTCTTCTCATTCCTAGAAGTAAATGTACATAGGAAAAACATTAAAAGAATCAATCTGCAGCATTCAGGGGGTAAGAAAAGGTTGCTTAAAGAGGTAAAAGTACCATATGAAAAGCACAGAATCTCCAGCAACAAGTCTCTTGGCACTAACAAATATACTCCAGCCTGTAGTAAGAAGATGCCGTTTTGGCTGTCCTGAAATAAAAAGAATGCAGCAGGCACACCAGTAAGTAGAAAAAATACCATTGAGCTAATAGTTTGTGATCATGTATAAGGTAGAACAATTATTCATAACACAAGCACACATCTCTAACTTAACAATTGTGCACTTAAACTTAAAAGATTTGTTTAATGCTTCTGTTCTAGTAGAATGAATGACTTTGAAATAAAAAAAATAATTAGGCAAATTCATGGCTTAATTTAAAACAAGGAAATGAAAGGAATCATTTAAAATAGTCGAGGTCAGCTAATTGAGTTTCTGAAAGTTGATATTAGAATATAGAATCTAATCTTGAAGCTGATGGATTTGCATACACATCAGTTAAATTCATGAAAACTACAGAAGGAAAATCTAGCGAGTAGTAGTTATCAAGACATATCTGACACAAGTACAAACAGGAGGCTTCCTAGATCATAGTGATTTAAGATAGGTGACATTAAACTGCAATCCCCTGCACTCTTTCAAAGTTTTTAAATAGGTCCCCCCCCCATAGTTTAAAAATTATAAAGGTGCCTAATTTCAATCATTTTTAATTGAGTCCTGTAGGGACCTGACAATAATCTAGATTCAGGGACCACATTGAAAACATTTTTAAAACTAAGGACCTACTTATAGTTTTTAACCTAAAAGAACTAATTTAAGATATACTAGACAGTGCTGACTAATAAAGTGTCTTGCCTCAAAATCTTAAGCAAAAGTCCCTAATTCACATAATAAACTAACAACTGACAAATCATTAGACTTAAATCCACAAGAAACTAGAATCCTACCCCGAAAAATATGTCGAAATTTCCACTCAACATCATGGAGATCCCTAGCAATAAGCTCCTGTGCCGGTGGTTGCTGTGAGAAATCCTGTATAGCACAGATATAAGATAAATGCATCTATACCCAACCAGTGTCAAACACAGGCAAAATATGAACCCTACCAGCGGAGGGAAAACTTTCTCAGCTGCACGACGAGGAACAGAGAATCCCCCATGTGTGCTGGTGTCACTGGCTGTTAATGTCTTGCAAAAATAGTTTGATGGCTGCTTACTTGGAATCCCCAATTCCATAGGAAGAAATGTATCCTTCTGCTCTTGCTATATCAAAAGTTAAAAAAGAAACGTTAGTTCCAGAATCATAAAGATTAAAGAGAGGGTCACAACCCACAAATCAAGCTGATCAAAGAACAACATGATACCGGGGTCAACGGCTGCAATGTCATTTGAGCATATACTTCATCTGTTTCAATATCTGCCTGAAAATTAACACATGCTCCAGTTCACTGAGTTTCCTCTACTATACCTCAACCATCATATATGACTAATAGAAAAAACATAATATACCCACATGCATTGTGACATTATGAAGTTGGCAAATCAACTGGGGTGGCAGGCTAGGATAATTGGGAATGTGTCCATCAATTTCTCTATTAGTTGTGGCAGCAACCTGGAATCCACATTCAGCACATTCATCTCAATTTACATTTATAGAATCTAGTGAATTGGCTTGAACCTCAAGTTTTTAATAACATTCTGTATCTTCTGTATTATGCAAATTGACACAATCAAAAGTAGAGTAAGTAGTTAACAAAAAACAAAAACCTGCTCACTATGACCCTGAGGGAAGTAAACCACACGAGTCCCAGCAGTTGGTAGGGACACTAAGGGCCCCGCGCATGCATGCCATAGCTCAGAATTCAGACACTTCTTCTCCCCTCCTATCATCATTACTCACACATCAAATTATAAAAAAGAGAAAAAGAAAACAAAAAACTTACTAGCATGTTCAAGCAACACAAAAGGGGCATGAAAGGGACACCTAACATTTATATACATGTATGACAAGAAGCCAAACTAAGAGCACTGAATGTTAGCTCAATTTAACAAAAATAAAAAGGTAAAAAGAGATAATTAGAATATAATGGATACCTTCATGTCCCTGCTGCCCCAACCCTGATGTTGAGAGCTTCATATCATCAAGCTTTACCTTCTTTTGTTTTTCTCCTTTACACAAAGACACACTAGCATATATATCAACCAATCACATAAACACATAAAACCCTAGCTCAAAGCCACTACCCTCAATTTGCTTCAAGCCATTGCATAAGCATTCCCCAACATCCTCCTCCACCATGATGCCAATGCACTCACTCCATAGTCCACACCCAGAAACACAGCAACCTTAAGAAAATCAAACAAAACCCAAATCCAAACACCACAACATCCCAACAAACTCACAAGCACCCCAGAAACAAAACAGCCCTCCACACTTCCAACAAGAAGCAAAAATTTGTTTTTTTTTTTTCCCACTCCTTTTTTTGGCAAATTTCAAAGCAGAAAGCAAACCCAATTGTAGTTAACCTGCTGCAACGGTGGCACGTTCTCCGAGATCGCCATGAAAGCTGAGAATGAAGTGTGGTGTTGAAACTAAAGGCTCTCTTTTGTGGCCTATCACTTTCGATTGAGACCCAAGTCAGGATTTTTGGCTTTGAACCAATGCTTAGAGAGAGAGAGAGAGAGAGTGTGAGTGTGTGAGTGATGAGAGAGGAGAGAGAAAGTGACAGAGAGAGAAAAATAAAAGAAGGGTCTTTGCCATATATAAGGGGGTCCCGACCGAGCTGGACATGGTGCAGTAGAGAGAGAAAGCGTAGGAGAGAGAAAATCCATGTTAGAGGGTTATGGGCTGATGAAGCAATCTCAGCCGTTGGATCTTCCGTACTTGAAAATCTGGAGCGTTGATTTGGAGTGATGTGACAGCAGGCATGTGCCACCATCCTTCACCGGTCGCTGTCAGAAGTACGGAGTATTGAGAGAAAAATATTAGTACCATAAAATAATTGTTTGTTATTATTATTATTATTAAATATTTTTCGAAAAATAAAATATCTGTGAGAAAAGAGAGAGAAGGTAAGCGCGTGCTACGCAAATGGATGTGAAGGGTAATAAGTAGAAGAAAAAGTTAAAAGCAAAGAGATTATCATCATTCAAAGCTATGTATTCCTTAACCACTTTTCTCCAATTTGCTACAACGCATGAAGAATGGAACAGATGAATAAATATATATATTATTTTACCTTTTTGTTTTTTTCTTAGTTCGTCTTTAATTTAGTTTGTTTAAAAATAACACCAGCATTTTTTTTAACAAGTTTTAATAAAATTAAACATTTTTAAAGATTTTTTTTTTTAACAAGGCTAAAGTGTGTTGTTATAATGACAGTTGAAATTTTAGTAACAGTTGGAGATTCTATATTCATCAATAATGTGGCTAAATAACATATATTATTAGGGCACACTAGCTTAAAGTTACTATCCTCGATTTGTTTCATGTTATTACAAAAGATTCTACAAAATCTTCATTATAAATTGAAATTATAGAGTTAAGTTATGCCTAAAATCCATGTTGTAAGGGTAAATTCAAATTTAAAAATCTTGTTTTAAATAGAGTTTTAATTGAATGAGGATGTTGATTTTTTTTATAACTAATATTAATATAAAATTTTTATTAACTTTGTTATAATAAGATTAATCTATTTATTTGTCATTTTTAATAGTATCTCTATTAATTGAATAGTGATAGTTGACACTTATATGATAATTAATGAAAGACTATTTTAGAATTGTGATATTGAACTGAAATATTAGATGACAAGATTTAAATTAACTGTTTTGTAATAAATAAAAAAATTATTTAGTTGTACTTTTTGATTTACGTATAACTTATTCCTTCATGTTACGTGTTTGTTTGTTAAAATTTAATTATTTATTTATTTTCTAAATTTTTATTCAACTATTGAGACTTCGGCTAGTAATCTTGTTTTTAATTCTCATATCTATTTATAATGCTCTCTAAAAAGTGTTTATATTTTTTTTAGTTTATTTGATTTATTATTTCATAGTCAAATAGACATAACTCTTATTAAGAACTAGTTATTTTTCAATCATGTCTGATTGATCTGTCTTAACAAAATGATTATCAACCGAGTGAATAAGTTTTAAAAAAAATGTTTAAATATATATAATCTTTTCTCCCTGAAAACTTGAGAGTATGAGTGAACTAAGTAACATCCTTTTAATTAGAAGATTCTTAAGTGTCTTTTCTAAGTATGTGTCTAATTTATCATAGAAGAGAAAGAGAGTAACATGTAGATAAAATAGCATATTTATTTATTTAATAAGGAGAGTAAAAGAGTAACATCTAGATAAAATAGCTTCTAAATTAAAAAGGATAAAAAAAAGATTTTAAGTAAATTAATGGTGATAAAAAAAAGGAAAAAAGAAAAGTTACGAGCTTATAAGCCTTAAGTTATTTTAATTAGTTTATGAAAACAAGTGGCAAGCTTTTAAAATAAGCTCGCATATCAAACAAACTTATTTTTGTTAAAAAAGTTTATAAGTTGGTTAAAGGAACTTATAAGTTCCTTAAATTAATGCCTTTGCCAAATACATCCTATATGTTATGATCTAAAAAACTAAAAACTTATAAGTTATACTTATATGGTTTAATTAAAAGTATTTTATAAAATTAACTGATAAACTAATTGATTAATGTAATAAGACATATTTCTTTATTTAATAGTGAGAGTAAGAAAATAATATGTAGATAAAATGATTTCAAAATTTAAAATAGTAAAAAGGATTTCAAGTAAATTAATGATGATAAAAAAAGAGAAAAATGATAGAACTTATAAGCTTTAAAATACTTCAGTTAACTTATAAAAATAAACTATAATTTCTTAAAAATAAGTTCTTATACAAGCTTATCTTAATTAAACTAATTTATAAATTAATAAAAAAATTATAAACTCTTCAAATTTATTGTCAAAAATACTCTGTCTTCATAAGCTAATTGAAGTAGTTTATTATTTATGAACTTTTTTTTTATTATCATTGATTTACTTATATATATATATATATATATATATATATATATATTT